TGGAGGTGGTAAATGAAAGTGTTCCAAAACGCGACATTAATTTCTTGACGACCTAATATTATTTAGGAGTATTTCGTGATCAAAAGACGAGCCCTGGTATTGGACGAAGAGTCTCGTCAGCACTGAATATTACAAATATCAAAAGCCAAAACATATTGTGCCACTTCGAAAATTTGTAAAAAAAAAAAAAAAGGTGCTATGAGATTACATCTGGAAGCAATTTTGCATGAAATGTTGCTTAAACAATTGCACGGCTGTTCACATAAAATCCACAAACATTCAAAACCTTTAAAACCATAAGCACTTGCGCTATAACTATATAAGCATAATTTTTTCATATCACAAAAATAAGGGGTTAGGCAGAAATAATCAAACTACATTGCATTGATTATTTATTTTGTGACTAATTTTACAAACAATTTCACATTTCCAATTTTACGTAAAACATAAACAACTAGTGACAAAAAAACAACCTATAATTTCAAATATATATGAACGATTGAAAGCAGAGGGGTCGCTTAGCACTGGCACATGGGGCCCGTGCCCTGATTCTAGTTGAAAGTGCTCCGAATCCCCAGTTGGTGTCTTGAAAAATCAGAATAGAAAACCATGATCCATATCATACTGAAACGCCGAAAATTCCCGCACTTTGGAGCCCGAACTCCGAATCTTTTAAGTAACTAATGACGCCTTTGATTAAAAATAAATGTATAGTTTACATGGCCTGGTGCTTAGGGCACTCTGCGGGTCGTGAATTCGAATTCTGTCACTGAACATACTCGCCCTTTCAACCATTGAGCGTTGTAACGTGACGGTGAATCCCACTATTTGTTAGTAAAGAGTAACCCAAAAGATGGCGGTGTGTGTTATTAATTAAATGTCTTTCTTCTAGTTTATCACTTCACAGATTAACTTCAAGTAGTTTTGCGCGAAATTCCACAAACAGACATGTAGCGATTTTTATCCGTCGCCGTCCAAGTTTAAAAAAAACAAACAAACCCTACTCTCTCTGTTTCCCCGTTCCATATTTCTGTAGGTAAACATATTTTGTAAATCTATGAAAAAAAACACACCTTAAGTTTGATTTTTGAAAATAAACTACAAACCTGTTTTAAATCATGGCTTCCTTATGAACGATTTTTTTTTTGTTTTTCCTTCACTGGCAAGGATAAATAGACCCTTATAGAGAATATTTAGATTATCTTGTACACGTATGAGTACCCGTTTTGGCGAACAGGATAAGCCTATTTCTATTCCCGTATTCTATTCTACTAAAAAAGTTGATCCTATATACAAATGAGATTAAGAATTATAATTATTAGTGAATACTTATTCCAAAAATTTTGTAATGGATGCTGTAAGACCCAAGTCTCGATTTAAAATATCATAAACATATAGGCCCTTGATATAAATGAAATTAAACTGAGGAACACTAATTATAATTGAATACAGGGTTCCAAACTTTTGTAATGTAACTTGCAGGATTTAAATATAATTTAAAATATCATCTAAATATTTACATATTTCTAGTGATTCGCGAAAGTAATGTTTTTCTTTATGCAGGAACAGTTAAACAGTTTCGTGCCCTAAAATATCAAGATCTGTATTTACGTAATGCTCACTCAGTATGGAATCACGAATCTTTTTCTTTTCATCACTACGCTAATGTTCTTTAATATCTTACCTTTAAATTTCCAATAGACTGGCCAATGCATATTTTAGCACATGAACACTAAATCATGTAAATAACGATTTATCAACAACAGTTAACGGATCTTTTAAGTGATGGTAAGTCTTCTATATTTTTAAGAGTGGTAAATAAACAGTTTTTATTTGAATATATTAAAAAACTTTACTCAGATTTTTAGTGACAAAGAGTGTATATGGGAAATACAATTTATTTTGGGTTTGGACGAATTCCGTCTTTGATGAAACCATTAACTAGTTTTTGCATTTCAGCAAACCCATGTCGATTACTTTATCATATCATATCACCTTTATGACCATTATGTCAAGAAACATAATAGACCTTCAGTGGCACGCTATAGTTTTTTCATACTAACAATGAATTTTATTAATATGTATACTAGGATATTAGATATATATTTTAAATAAGTGTAACCTAGTAACCAATAATAGAATAAAAACTTGTGAGATGAATATAGAATTATTCGTTGTTAACTATTTGACTGACGTAACAAGAGCTGTTACAGAGTCACGAATTTTGAAAATTCTAAGAAATATGGAAAAATAGCCACAGGGAAAAAATAGCTAAGTGACCAGTTCATTTCGGCAAAATCCCAAAATGTCGTTCGGTCGAAATATTAGCAGCTGAGTTTTATTTTCTTTACTGCAATTTTAACCATTTCTCTATGTTTAAGTTTGTTTGTTTGAAGTTAAGCACAAAGCTACAAAATGGGCTATCTGTTCTCTTCCCACCACGAGTATCGAAATCTGGTTTTTAGCATTGTAATTCCGCAGACATACCATTTTGCCACTGAGGGGGGTCTATGTTTAAGATTTGACATGCATGTTTTGTTGCAAGGTTGTACGCTCGCTATATTTTGTATATCTGTAATTTTTAAATACGTAATGAAAATTCCATCTGGGTTTGTTTTAATGTAATGTAGTGTATTTCAGGGTAGAATATTTATATGTTATTCATCATGTATTTAATAATCATTAAGATTGTTTCGAACGGTGTAGGCTATTCTGCTAAAAGTTTGGAAGCACACTCACAAATATTTATCGCATAATTAGATTAAAAGTTTCATTTTCTGGCCACCAAACCGGAAACTCAATTACTAATTATTACAATGGGAATACTCATTAATTCTGTAAAACCATTTAAAGTGACTAGTGAACAAAAACAAGTCAGGGAAATCAGATTAATTCAGTTTGACAAGAGATAAAGTTAGACATCTACTATATAAAGACGAAAAAAACGTTCGTCTGTCACACCGATATCTCGGCCGTTGCAGTACCGATCAACATGCAACTTGCAAGAAACGATGGCGCTTTCAACCGCGACAAGCAAATTTGCCCTTTTTTTTAAAATTCTTCCAGCCATATATATATATATAAAACGGACGAAACGCTACTTTGGGCATATAATTAGATTTGACGGTAGAATGGTAGAGATCGTGATGAGTAATAAAATCTAATTGGGTATACGCGCGCCCCACATTTGGTATTGCTGCCGCACAAAAATCATAATTATTGGCTGAAATTTCCCCATTGAGTCTTTTGCTTGGTTGTCAAGGAGACACACTGATGCAAATTTTGTCCAACCCGAACCCTCGGCTACAACTACATAACAACCCGCATGTTTTACCCGCAGCACATTTCAATTTAGAAAATGCCCAAATTAAAGCACGCTTCTTCAGCCCAACAGGCTAACAAAGCAAAACCAGGAAGACAGTTCAAAGAGAAGACATAATAAAATTCACTGCTTTTACCACCATAATTAATAACTTGCAGGGTCATACAGTTGACCAAATAGGAATATGTCTTTAAGAATAATTTTTTTTTGCATGTTACAATCGATAATGATTTATCAAGAAGAACATTTGAACACAACTTAAGAATATACAGAAGTCAAAATGCTAATCAAGTAATACTTAAAAGAGATGACCAAATATACATAAAAATATTGTTTTCGTAAAATACTAGAAATAGAATAATCATTCTCCATACATGTATTGTTACTAGATTATAATTAATCATTACTTCCCGTCATCATATGACGAGCATTCGGCTTGTCTCTGAATACTGATGAATAGAGAGGGAGAGAATCATTTACTCTTCAATTTCCCAAATGTTTTTATTTTTGAAGGAGTATATATAACTTTTACGGTCCGGCATGGCCAGGTGGTTAGGGCGCTCGACTCGCAATCTGCGGGTCGCGGGTTCGAATCCCCATCACACCTTTCAGCCGTGGGGGCGTTATAATGTGTCGGTCAATCCCACTATTCGTTGGTAAAAGAGTAGCCCAAGAGTTGTTGGTGGGTGGTGATGACTAGCTGCCTTCCTTCTAGTCTTACACTGCTAAATTAGGGACGGCTAGCGCAGATAGCCCTCGTGTAGATTTGCGCGAAATCCATAACAAACTAACAAACAATATTTTATTAAACGGAAATGTTTAATTAATATAAATCTAATAAAAGCTCATGAATTGACAACATGATGGCATTTATTCCTTTTTATTTAGTTATAATTTATACAATCTAAGCTACAAACATGAAAGTTCAAGTTAAGTTTGAACAACAAAATTGCTTTAGACACATTTCTTAAAAATCTGATGTTAGAACTTTTTGACTGGCAAATCTACGATTAGCATGTTTATGTCTTAGAAAACATAACATGCATTATATTATATTTCTACAATGAATCTACTATATAAGTACCTAACCTTCTATGCTTAGTGGCTATTATTATCTATCCATTTATCGGGATTTACGCCTTGATGACCTGGGACGGTCAGGTTCAAGTTGACCTCTTCCTCCCTCCTGAGCTGTTGTTGTTTGGTGTTCTATACTTGGTGTTTGGTAAGCTGGTTTGGATGTCTATCATTTACTGTTACTACTTTCCTTTCAGGGCTATGCCCATTTTATATTGTCAGGTTATGTATTTCTTTATGAAATTATACTAGCTGTGTAGTTGTGTTCTGTAATGTTTGTGGAAGTACGAGTAATTGTATGATCTGTGGTAGTTAGTAATGGTGTTAGATGTTCTATAGCTATTTTAATGACTAGTGTTGCTGTCTTCTTGGTTTTAGGGGTTTCGGTATTGTGTTAGAAATTCGGAGAGAATGTTTTTAGCTGCTTCTATTATTTTGGTTATGGTTTCATATTGTTGCGTTACTGGGCTTATGTGTTGTGTGTTCTATTTGTTTGTTTGTTTGGGTGTATCGCGAGTTTGAGTGAGTGTTCTTGCTATCTGTGCATATGTATGTTTTGTAAATTGTTAATTTGTGTTGGTGGTCTCTTAAGGTTTAGGTGTTGACGACAAAGGTGTTCTTCTTAGTGTTCTATTTGTTTCCTTATTTCATACATATGTTTGTTTCTTCGGGTATTCGCTCCAAGCTGCTTAAGGGCTATCTGCGCTAACCGTCCTTCATTCTGAACTGATGTACTAGAGGTAACGTAGCTAGTTAACAGTCCTCATCAGTAGCTCTTGAGCTATTCTTGTTTCATCGAAGAGAGGGATTTGACCAATATAGTTAGAGTGCATCCACATCCACAAAAGCGTTTTTTATGTTTTATTTTGCAGATACGGAACCCATATATTAGATCTGCAGATCCACAGTCCGGAACTCTAACCACTGGGCCATTAGGGTATATTACAACAGTAAATAAAGCCAATATTCAGAAACGACTCTAAAAGACTTAAACCACATTTTTTATGTGTATTAAGAATTCCAGGGTCAGATATTTTATTGCTTACATCCCACGCGTGTAAGTTGACAAATAACGTTTAACTAACGACATTATCTTCAAGGGTGCACTTACATCTGTATGTTTTTATCAGAGCAGGTCATGTTACAAAGTGATAGATTCGACATTTTGTAGCTCTGCTACAAGTTCGATTCTTTCAGGCGAATTGCCATAGAGTTTCCTTTGTCCCAACACAATGTTTGTTTGCTTGTAGTTAAGCACAAAGCTACACAATACGCTATCTGTGCTGTGTCCACTACGGGTATCGAAACTCGGTTTCTAGCGTTGTAAGTCCACAGACATATCGCTGTGCCACTGGGGCTCCAACATAATGAATTAGCATGATTTTCGAAAATTATCAGCCAAGCAGTAATGTCGCCTTGTTAGTTAATTTAATTTTCTATTTGGTCATAAATCAGTTTAAAATAACGTTATTATTCTTAAAACATTTTTGTTATACTTTCATAATTGCACTTCATATTTAACAAACTCCTGGTTATTATTTTACAGAAAATAGGGTTTGTCAAATAGTATTTTCAAAACTATCTTAGGTCTACAAAATTTGAGGTCATAATTGAATTCAACAGTTGTTACCTTTAAGTCAGCACGTTACATAAATCCATCTTCTACGCCTAAGCTTGAGAACGTCGGTTGAAAAAATTGTAAAATAGTTTAGTATAATCACTACGAAAGTGACGTCTGTTTTCGTACACACACAAAATCCTTGTTCAGATACTGTAGTTAAATCTCTTATTGAATGGAGACTGTTGAAACTTTCAACAGATGTTCCAGAACTTTCTTTGAAGCGCTATAACTATCCGGATGCATTGTTGTGAACATCTAGGTGATACAAATGAACTCTTCGAACCGACTTTGACGGACTGTGGTCTCTTAGCTACAGAGTTACTTACTGTTGCATAGTAGTGCAATGAATTGAACTACAGATAATAACACATTTCCTAATGGAAGGTATATTTTGTTCATTACATTTATTTATAGTTAGAATTGCTGGAAATCGAAAGTGATACATCTACACACATTATTCTGTTCCTTAGTTCTATTAGCTCAAACTGTTTTGAAGGATTGACACGGAGACAACAGCATGCTTTTTAGATGTCACAATTACTTGATTGTCTTCTTAATCTGCAAGCACGACCTTGATGTTCGGATTGTGTGGAAATATTGCCCAGGACCGTTGAATAACAGAACGTTACCTCGTTGATATCTGGCATTCTAAGAATATCATAACCTAAGCAATGAAAACAGACTTCCGGATTTTCCTTATCAGATACAAGGTTAAACTTGCATAGACGTATCAAAGTAAACTTCATTCAAAACATGCAAATGTCTTACACATTTTTATTGATTTCAACTCAACTTGACATGACGATAAGGAAGTAAATAGGTAAAAGAATGATAAACGTTTAGCTATAGAATAGCATCACTGCTGCTCATCGTAGAATACAGAATTAAGTAATCATGAGCCGAATGTTTGGAATATTCTAATGGGATTCATATCTATATCTCTTTTTTAGAGTTAAAGCCATGTCATAGCTCTCATTTAATGCCTGTAGCTCAAAATATTCTCGGCAATTGTATTCAGATCCGAAAAAATCATATCTTCTTGCCAACAGCACTGTGGAGTGAATGGGCTTACAATTTCGAAATGTCTTGGTTAGATGAAAGAAAAGTTCCAAAAAACTACTTGTGAGTAGTTTAATGCATAACAAAATAAATTTGAGTTGAATGGATAACATTAAGTATATCCCTGATCTGTAAAACCGCAATTTCTTTAATTAATTGAATTACAATTTTTTTTTCTGTTCCAGTAAGCACGTTTTATCGCTTGTTATAACAACTTATCAATTACTATCGTACACTATCGCATGCATATGTCTACATATTCGAGTTTTACGATTTACACCCTTTGCAAATATTGAATATTTGACGTAACTTGTAGAGTACAAGTGTAAAACGCCCTTTTTATCGGGATACCCTTAAAGTCTCCGTTTTGATGGTACTGTTCTTATGCTAACTCGAAACTTTTCTCTACGTTACCACTGCTTAGCTCTGTAAAATAGATAAAATTTAAAATCTGCTGATATTTGTTTTGAGTGGTCGCGCAAAGCTACACAAAGCTGATTCTAAAGATTGAACTGACAAACTAAAGGAAAAGCACCGAGTTAACAGTACCCACCGCCAAGTCTTGGGCCACTATAATCAAAGAGTTGAATTTGACTGTCACTCTTATAACTCAACCAAGGCCTTTAAGTTCGGAGCGCGATGTTACGGCAAGTCCAGCACACGAACAGTTGGCTACGTCCGGCCTTTCTTCTTTTATAGTTATGTATTTAAGGTCATGAATATACAGATGCTGCAGAGATTCAGCCTCTCCGAGAGGCACACATTGAGCACAAAGTTTTAAAAACAGCATACTTTTACTGAGTCATTTATCACTTTCTTCGCGTTTGTAAATGCCGTCGAAACCGCAAAAAAAAGCAGTCATTTAGCTAAACATTAGTAGTTGTTACCATGGTAACTTTTCTTCCCTACAACTGTCTCCTTCTACATATATTTTATTTATGTTGAATTTCAGTTAAAGAAGAGGCGTAAGTTTCCCCGCTGTGTTTTTTCTTTCTTTTTTATAGCGTAAGCACAAAGTTAAGCCTAACTTAAAGTTCTTTCAAAGTATTGAGTTTAAAATGAAATCCGCGAGAAGAAAAGAAAATGAAACTTAGTTAAAAGCTCTCTAAAATAAACATTAGCTCAGGTTGTGGATATGGCATACATTATGTAGTTAAAGTATTACTATATGCTTTTCTTTTCTCTAAGCAACGATACCATGATAAGTACTGTTACACCAAATTAGAGGCAATTTATATGTTCTCAGAAAGACGTACTATTTCACGTTAGAGCCAGTTCATATATTCTCAGGAAATCCTATTGCACAGACTAAAGTCCATATTTGTACATTTTCAGGAAGCCGTGCATCAGATTAAAGCCGATTTGAATATCGTCAGAAAGTTATATTATGTCAAACTAGAGTCAGAGTACATATTTTAACAAGGTATAATACATTAGAAAAAAGCTAGTTTACACATTTTAGCAAGGTATATATTATGTCAGGCTAGAGCTAGTTTACATATTGTTAGAAAGGTATATTATGTCAGTCTAAAGCTAGTTTCCATGTTTTTCTCAAGGTATATTACGTCAGACTAGAGTTAGTTTACAGGTTTTAGCAAGGTATGGTATATCAGACTAGAGCTAGTTTATGTGTTTTAAGCTAGGTATACTAAGTCAGACTAGAGCTAGTTTACACGTTTTTAGCAAGGTATATTATGTCAGACTAGACCTAGTTTACAAATTGTTAGCAAAAGCATATCATGTCATCTAAAGATAGTTTACATGCTTTTATTAAGGTATGTTATGTTAGACTAGAAATAGTTAACATATAATTGAACATTCAAGAATATATTCAAGCCATTATAGAAGGATAAGTGTAAAAATGTTTAAATAAAAAATAAGGAGGTAGGGATGGAAGCACTAAAAAGTAAGGAAACAAGGTCGGAATGGGCGGAAATAACATTACAACACTTGGTGGTTTTGGACGCGGTGCAATCTCAAAGTGGGTGTAGCCATCGTTCCACCCATTCGTACTTCGTGTGTTTTTTGTAACTTGGTAACTTTTCAAACTAAATGAAAGGTGCATATAGCTAAATTTCTGTGTTGTAAACTTTGTTTCAGCAACCAAATACAGATATATGTATCTAATCTAATTACGTGATCCTAACAAAATGCATGACATCATGAGGGAGGGGTGTTTGATGTTGGAAGTGAGACAATAAGCTCCAATAGTCATACTTTGCCTATGGGAGGCATTATATCTACCTGACTGGTAAGGGATGGGCCAAAAGAATAGTATCAAAACCGCTGATTTTTGGATTTTTTTAATTTGTTGAGTATTTAGAAAGGATTGGCTTCTAATAAAACTCAGTTCAACTCTATAATTAAAACAAAGTTCAAAGTAAAACACGAAGTAGGATTGGGTAGAACAATAGACACACCCAGTTTGAGATTGCACCATGTCAAAAAACACCAAGTGTTGAAATGTTATTCCGCCCATCCCGACCTTGTTTTCTTACTTTTTAGTGCTCTCATTCCTACTTCCTAATGTTTTACGCTTGTCTTATAGCTTTTTTTGGTGGTACGTCTTGAGAGTGACTAGGCTGTAGGCTTATCCTTCTCGTAGCTTTTCAGAGTGCTAAGCCTCGAGAGTGATTGGGCTCTAGGTCTATCATTCTCGTACATTTTCTTAGAGCTATCTCTCGACACTCCTGGCTTTTTCTTATATCTTTCCTATAGTTTTTCTTCCATCTAGCCAGAGTAGCAGTCTTTTTTTTTTACTAGAGTACTGGTTAAGGCTTGTTTCGCTATTCAGCATTACTGTTTCTAACCTTATCAAAATATGATTTTTATCCTTTTCTCTTATTTTGTTTCTTTGAAAGGCATATTATAAAATTGCACTGTTTCAAGTACAAACGTAGATGTCAATAAGTCACATTTAGTTTGAAAACAATGTAAAGGTAAATTATACAACTTATTCTTGTTTTCAGTCAGAATGCTCGAGCAAAGCTATGTCAGACTTCGGCAGTGGTAGCGTTCGTCCTTAAGTATGAAAGACTCGCGTCTTAGGCACAGATTGCTAGGATAGTATTGCTTTGTCCAACACGGAACACTTGAGTGAGATGTGTAGGACTGAAAACTTCGCTTTCAAAGGTTGGGTCATAGGTAGAATGTAGATCTAGAGAATCTACGTAGTCCACGTTTTTTTTCTAGCTGCAGACTGATCATGTAACACGTGCGCATAAGTAATTGTGCACTCGAACGTGATATGAGGGTGGATTGTTACCTTGCAACACACAGAGAATGCTCGTAACCATAGAATATGGCTACTGGTATACTGTTAGCTCGTTAGTAGTGTTGCAAAATGATTATTATTATTATTTATTACGAAGGTTATAAATAAAAGTAAGAAAACGCTTTATGCTAAGGTAGCGTAATTCAATCGTGTGCATTTAGATGTACATAAGGTGAAGGCAAATGAGAGCTATGCCTTTCCAAAAATGTTAGTCAGTCGGATTGACAAATTTGTAGTTTTGTGAATTTTTTGTTTTTACTCTAACGACTTTCTCAAGTGCTTTGATGGCTTATTACACTGCAGTTGTTTTTTAAATACTCAACAGTGTGTATAAAATGCATATAAAGTTTTGTTTACATGCTGTTTGCAGTGTGTTTGAGATTTTATTTTGTATTACACATATTGCACATCTGGCCCATTCTTTCGAAATACTTAGTTTTAAATAAAATTCTAATCCTCCTATTTTACAAATTCATCATGTAAATGAATACAGTGGACTTGAAACCTACTTACTTCACAGGCTCTGGAATATATCCGAAACTCTATCTTAAGGTTAAAGAAGACCAAAGTATTGAAATCGGACTCGTGTTTTTATTTTTTCTATTTGGAGTTTTGTGTTTTATTTTTTAAAAAACATTTTAAGCAACTTTATGAAAATAAGTGAGTTTATCGGTCTTCAAAAAATCACTCTTGAAACTTAAAGGGAGTTAACCATGAGAACGATGGCGTGATCGTTAACTAAAACAGCTGTTTTGGATATTACAACTGACCTTTAAACAATAGTACTGATACGAGTATCTTAGTACCAGCACCATCCTTTTGGTTTCAAAATGAGGTTTACAACTATAGAGTTGTACAGTTAACAAGGGAACCTTGAAGTAGTTTTTGGAATGGTAACATAACTGACCTTCATGCCTGTATAATTATTATTTATTTTTACTGGCTTTCTTCAGCCGACGAACATCGATGTCTGTATTAATATACAACTCTACGAAGATAGCGCAATAAAAAACAAAAACAAGCTCTTGAAAGTGTGTATCCAAGGCTGTCTAGTAAAAAGGTAGCCAATAGTAAATTTATTTTTGTAAGATAAACATTAAAGTTAAAA